CTGAGATATCTGAAGCATATTCAACTCCAACTAAGAGTTAGAATGTCATGTGTTTTTACAAGTAATCCTCATAGCAACCCCATGAGGCAGATATTCTTATCGCAATTTACAGAGGTGGAAAATGAACTCAAAGAGATTCTGTATCTATCCAACTATATATTTTGCCCATTTACTAATAGTAAATGGTGCAGGTGCATTTTAAACTCAAAGCCCAAGGTCTTTCCATCACATACTTCAGGAGAATAATGTGATATTAACATTTAAGATTAATCTAGCTATGATTTATGATACTGACTAGACTAAGCAAAACAGACTAAAAACACATCCAAGTCTGTAGGATGTGGACTGGTCCAAAGCAGTCTGACTAGGAATGCAAATGCACTATTATAAAAACAAAGTCATGATGATTTAGCACAGGCAGAATAATTCAAAGATGCCTCTTGGGTTTCAAGTCAAAATAACTAGAACTCTATAATATTACCAAATAATGAATGAAGAACCAGACTGGGAATGATGAGTTCAGTTTTCCGGTAGATGGATATTTTTAGGTGATAACACCAGATACATGACTGATGATCTAGAAAAATGTCAATAATTCATTATTCAATAAATACTTATTGAGTGCTTACTATGTACCAGAACCTAAGGTATCAGAGATAGAAATGAAAAGTTCTCATCCTTATGGTGTTTACATTCCACACAAAAGACAATCAATTAATGTCAGGTAGTTAAATGCTATAAAGAAAAACAAAATGGAACAAAGAAACAAAGTGGGCGGGTAAAGATGGATTATTTTTTACAAAAAGAGGGAAAGCCTCTCTTAAAAAGTGATTTTTGAACAGAGTCCAGAATGATGTGACATCTAGACCTTCAAATAGCTGGGGGAAGAGTATCCCAGGCAAGGAAAACAGCAAAATACAGCTAAAAAAGCACGAATGAGCTTGGGGTGTTCAGATCCAAGAAGCATGGAATGCAAGAGAGAGAACCTGGAGATCATAATCATATCAGAGACATAAGAAGGGGCAAAATTGTGGGCCACAATAAAATATTGGCATTTCCCTTTAAGCAGGATGGGAAGCTACTGGAAGGTTCTGAGCAGGTAAATGACATTATCATTTTTAAAAGATCACTGGCCTTCTTAAATGAGAACTGATTATAGGGGCAAGAGTGGCAGCAAAGAAGCCTACTGGAAGGTTCTTGCCATAGTCTATGAAAGAGGTAATAATGACTGAAGTAAGATAATAGTGGTGAAATGGAGAGAAGTGATGAGATTCTCAATATATTTTTAAAGTAGAGCCAAAAGATCTTGCTGATAAAATGGATATAAAATGTGAAGGAATAAGAATAATCAATGATGAGTCCTCAACATTAGAGCTCAGTGACTGTAAATATTAATGGTGCCATGTACTGAGATGGGCAAGGATGAAGGAATGAACAGGTTTGGGAAAAGAACTAAAAACTGAGTTTTGGCCATGTTTGTTTTTAAACTCCAAGCAGAATACAGGTGGAGATGCTGAGTAGATGAGTATCTAAGTCTGGAGCTCAGGCAAGAGGCTAAGAACATACATTTAGGAGTCACCACAATACACATGTTATTTAAAGCTAAGAAGTTAGATGAGGTTCTTTTTTAAATCTTGCTTTGTAAATAAAAAGCAGAAAAAATTTTCTAAGTGCTTTACAAATATGAACTCAACCCTCTGGGTTAAGAATTATTATTAACCCTACATCCCATATTAAAGATAAGGAAACTAAGGCACAGAGTATCTAAGCAACTAGGCCAAAATCACAGTGCTGGTAGGCAGCAAATCTGGGATTTGAATTCAGTGTGGCTCCAGGGTCTGAATTCTTAACATTAAGCTAAGTTCCCTCCTAAGACTCCAAGGGAAAAAATGTCTAAGCAGAAGAGGTTCTAGAACTGAGCCCCAGGGCATTCAATGTTTGGAAGGTGCAAAAAGGAGAAGCAAAAAAGATTAAAAAGAGAGCTAAGAAGAAAATCAGAAAATGTTTGGTGTCCTGGAATCCCACAAAAAAAGTACTGTGTATCAAAGAGGAATGCTTAAGAGATCAACAAAAAAATGGACTAGAAATTGACCACTGATTTGGCAAGATGGAAGTGAGTAAGGACTATGAAATAACCTGAAGGAGTGAGTTACCTTTATAATTCAAGAGCAGAATTTAGAAGAAATACAAGGTACAAAACAAGATTCGTTTATTCCAGGGAATATTTACTGAATGTTCATCAGTGCCAGGCCCTGGTCTACATCCTAGGGACACAGTAGTAAACAAATCAAACAAAAATTCCTGTCCTCACAGAACTCACATTCTAGTAACATGTTTAGGCATTTCTTCAAGGAAAAGCTATTAGGAGCATTTTGCTTCTTTATAAGAAATGTTGTATTACATAAATCAGTCAGTGAATTTCTGATTCGTTTTCAGTGCATGAACAAAGCTAAAGACAATTTTGAATAAGTGCAAATATATACAAATGTTAAGTGATTAATAATAACAACAAATGAGTTAGTGGGAGTGCTTTAATGTCACTGACATACTCATTGATGGACAAGGTGAGAAAGAAAATTGTTAAATGCACTCTACATACTATATTCTATATGCCATAACTAGTAAAAAATTTAACATGGGAGTCTATTGGACACTGTCCAAGGATTATTTACTGGGAATCTCTGAAGGGTTTTCTTAGCTAGATTAACCTTTCATGATATTTTGACACATTGATCGTGAGGACAGAATTGATCCAAATACCAAAACCTAACTTGAAAAAGTAAGTTTTTCTGGAGGAAAACAAAGTCTCTATACTCAAGAAGCTTACTGTCTGGCAGGCTCAACTGACACAGTCTCAACAAACATTTATTAAGCATCTACTATGTTGCAACCACTAATTAAGGAGCAAAAAAAAGCAGGATATAACTATCTTTAATGCTAAATAAGTTGGTAAAGACAAAAAATACTAAAATAATTTGTAGAAGTTCATAAAAGGGTGGAAATTACAGTGAACTAGAGCAACTGGGAGCCATTTTGTCCCCTGAGGGAACAGTTAGCACTGTCCAGAGATTTTTAAAATCATGACTGGGGGTTGGGTGCCAGTGGCATCTATCTAATGGGTAAAGTCCAGGGATGAGGCTAAACACCCTACATTGTAGAGGATAGATCCCCATAACAAAGATATTGTATCTGTCCAAACTGTCAATAATGTTGCTACTGAGAAACCCTTGGCTAGAGTGAACAGAAAACGATTCTGGCATAACGAGTTGGATTCTGAGCTGGCTTTAAAACATTAGGATATGTTGAAAGACAGACAAAATAATAGAAGCAAAAGCATAAAGGCAGGAAGGAGCCTATGTTTGAACTGGGTGGTGTAGGTACTAGGAACAGGTTTGACATTAAGAAATTTAACTGAATGCAGTGCAAATATGTGTTCAAAAAGTCACTAGGATATAAAGGTGACTTGGTAGTGGGTATTTAGATGATACAGGACCATGAAAACTAGACAAACATGCCGGAAACAGAAGGAACAAGCGTTGTTTTATTTTAAGCATCTTCTCTAAAGATTGATGTAACAGGTTGTAAAACTTCTTGATAGCAGCAACCAGGTGGTGTTCATCACCGAATCTCTTCTGTCACTAAGCACTGTGTCCTGTAAATAGTGTGTGCTAAATGCTTATTAAATTAAATGTAATTTTCCAATTCATTAGCTGTCAAGTATTATTGGTGATCTCCAAAGTTCCATGCACTGCTAAGATTCAGGACATTCATTTAAAACGGGAACAAAAAAGCTAGCGTTTAGTAAGCGCCTACAATATAAAAGCACTGTAGTAGGCCCTCTACACATATTATTTCATTTAATCACAGAACAGAATGAGGTGTTTCCCCCTCTTTAAAGATGAAGACATTGGAACTTCAAGAATCTAATTTGCCTAGGATTTGACTGTGAGCTAGGAAGTGACATAGATAGGACTGAACCCTTTTCTAGTCTGAATCCAAACCTCCAAGCTTCAGTGACATGCTGTAAGGAAGAGTTAAAAAAGCAAAATTCAACACCTACCTTTCATAATTAAAATACGTGAGGAAGTATAAAGTAACTTCATAAGGTTGTCTTTGTATTCCTTTACTAGAGTAATCATTAAATTCTGCCTTAGGAGATTTGGATATGGTATTCGACTCACCTTCATTCCGCATTTCTGTGCCAACTGGTTCCTAAGTGCATTCAAATTACCCCAAAATTCTCTTCCTGAAACCCAAATTCCCCATAATTATTATCCTCAGGCCAGAAAAAAATAAATAAACAAAAAACTAACCTGTTGGACTGATATGACCAGTACCTAATAACAACCAAAATTTAGCATTGCAAAAGCCTTTCCAGATTCAAGGTCCTCTTCCACACTTCTCAAAGTGCACAGACCTAACCTAAGAAAGGCATCCCAAGTCTCAGGTCCTCAATCGGGTTCCAGCTGTTGCCAGGTATTTCATCTTCATCCCTCCCAACATTTTTGAAAGTCTACCTTTAACCAGAGCTCTCCTCCAGCTACCGCTACAAGGGATTTTAAGACCCTAAAGAACCTTACCTCAAACATTCTTCCAGCTCCAAACGCTCAACATTTGTCCAGGGAAACACATTTTGTGAATGTGGTTTATAATCCTACTCTAGCCTAGATACGCCTCAGCCCTTCGCTGTTCTTCTAGAAGCACAGTCCCAACACCAGATGCTACACCAGCTGCTCCTCCGAGGCCCTTTACACGAACCCCTTAAGCAGTTCTTTCGAAACCCACAGTCCGGCTCCAGGGCCCTTTCACATGCTGAGTCCCATTTCTTTCAGAGAGGATGCGCCAAACCCCCAACCTTCTCCCACCTCTTAGGGAAGGAGCCTCAGTCAGGAAAGGGGAAGAGGTTGGCCCTGGCCCGGGGGCCCACAACGTACGCAGAGGCGGGCAGAGGGGGCTTGCAGTCCGGTGGGGAATGGACAGGGAGCGGCAAAAACACTTACCAACATCCTGATCGAAGGGATTGGTGGCAAAGAGAGGCATCTCCACTGCGTGCGAGGTGTCCGCAGGGACTCCCCCTCGACACCACGGGATTCAGGGTGCGACGTAAGAAGGAAGACTCCTCAGGCAAAAACAGCAACACAGACTGACTCCACAGGGTCCGTGACGGCTCCTCCTCTCACCCACCCCCAGCAACCGCGGCGGCGGCGGCAACAGCAAAGGAGCCTCGAAGGCCCCCGCGCGGAGCATGTCGGGAATCTGGGCGACCTCGGCGCTGCCTACTCCGAATCTGCCCCGAACCTGCTCTGCCGCTAAAGCCCCAGCCAAGGAGTCCCCTCTGCCTGACTCCCCTTTTGATTAGTCACACATGAGAGTGGAATTAGTGCCTGTGTTATCTGCTTTTCTCTTGGCCAGGAGTCTCCGGAGGCCGGGGTCCTCCTGGCGTGCCGAAGTCTACTAAGGACCTCAGGAGTGAATCGGGGTCGGGGAGAAAGAAAACGGGTTGAGTGTGGGTCGAGCCAAGCCCCTTTTTCCCTCTCACTGGGTGGGTTGTTAAAACTTGCAGTTCCCTCTGGAAGGGGACGGAAACTCCTTTGGGTCACCTTCTAAGTAAAAAGGCTGTGAGTTCAGTTTGCTGTCAGAGGTGACAAGAAACTTGCTTGGATGAAGTCATGTGAGCTGAAGGGATTAGCTCGAATCCCTAGAGAGGGGAGTGTCAGGCGCGCGGCTCCTTCAAGAGGCTGAGGTAACGCTGGCGCCTTCCCGGGCGTCCCTGAACGCCCGGCTTCGTAATCTCTGGGGACGGCTCTTCTATTAGGGCGTTGGCACCCACTGACTAACCGAGCAGTCACTTAGCAGATGTGGGGATTAGAAAATGAGTCTTTCACAGCCCAACGTAGCCTCCCTAAACTGAGCCCAGAAGGAAAACTGAAACTTGGAGCTAGACATTGATTAGTGATTCCTAGCAACTTAAAATGTTGATTGAATTATTTTATTTACTGATGTTCATTTAACAAATACAAATTATTCTCTGTCATGTAGAAATGTTAAGGAATATCTGCTAGACATTTTGCGTCCCACCTGGAAACAAACTTAATAAACTCATCTTGCTCGCAAATTGAAGTTATGCAAATGATAACCCAAATTACAGGACCTCCAAATGTAGCATGGAAGCAAATATTGACATGTTAACAGGACTAGTATCATAGTAGGCAATAAATGCCTTACAAAAACCCATTAAAAATGAAGTCCCACTTCTGAAAGTGAAATATGCAAATTAAGTAGGAGTTAGATAATGTGTTTTGTCATTCAGACAAAGATTAAAAATCAGGGATGTGGGGAATCTGACACTCGCATATTGTTGGATGAAGTGGATATTAATACAGTGTAATCTTCCTTAGGGAAATATTTGGAAGTACCTAACAAGCTTTTAAAAATGTGCATACCTTTGCACCCAGCAATTCCATTTTAGGGAATTCATTCGGAAAACATTCTTTAAAAACATGAGCAAAGATATACATGGCAACATTATAATATCAGCACACTGATAACCACTGAAATGTCCAACATTAAGATATTGGGCAAAATGCTTCACCTCTTGGTATTTCAGTTTCCTCATCTGTAAGAAACAGGAATAATAATAGGATTGTGAGGACCAAACAAAGGACCAAGGACCAAGCAAAACCCTTATACCAGTGCCTGGCATATAGTAAGCACTAAATAAGCGTAAGTAATCATTATAATTAGTATTGACCAAATAAATCATAGTATACACGATGTAAAAACTATATAGCCATTGAAGGTGGATAATACAGATCTATATTTACATAGACATCTGAATATATTAAGTTTTTAGAAGGAGGTTACAAAACCCTCTAAAATTACAAATACAATTTTAAAAGTCTGAAAGGAATACATGAGAATAATATGACATGATTATCTCTGGTAAGATTCTGGATATTTTTGTTCTTTATGCATTTTATAGTTTCCAAATATTTTAATGATGAACGTGTATTTCTTTAAACAGAAAAAAAGTTAAAACACAATAATGTAAAAAATGTGATATGTTAGTACCACCAGGTTCTTCATATTTTGAGGGGCCTATAGCAAAAGCTTGCTTATGTTTCATTATGACAAGCATAAAATTCTTCCAGAACATCACTATTGATATGGAAAGCAGAGCATTCTCTCTCAAAAACCTCCTGATTGCTGGGCTGACAGAATCAGGTGATGACTTGTCCACCTCAAGTTCCTAAGCAGTGTCTTGGGCACATTATCGTAACCATCCTGTATCAGAGCCAAGTATTTATGAAAATGCATTTGGATATGCTTTCTGCTCCAGACAGAATTATTCTGTTGCCAGCAATATGCTAGTGAACAAACTGTTCAAGCCTTTATTATCAATATGTGTGCACTGAGAGTAACATATATTAGTATGATAGCGATACCCATGTATTCTGACCTAGAAGAATGACTATAGCTTCAAGTTGAGGAAGCAGCCTTGATGATTAATATTCTATATAAATAATAAATATTTTTCAATTATGAAATTTTGAATTTTGTTATATTTAACATAAAAGCCAAATATAAAAAGCAAAATAAGTTATATTTTGAGGTTAGCTTCCTTTATTATCCCTTTAAAACATTAACACTCTACAGGAGTTTCACTTTTAGTATTTCCATAGTTTTTAAAACATTTTAAAGACTATCAATTTCACATTAAAATATTTCTGTAATATTTGTTTAATAAATTCTGTGGTTAATTTTAAAATAGCATATCCTTTTATTCTCATTTTGGTTTTGAAAATTCTTCTACATTAAAAACAAAGATACCAACATACAAACAGACTTACTCCAGGAAAAGATCTATCATTTTAAGGTTCAGAGAAAGGAATATCTCAGAAAGGTTATTGAAGTTTAATAATTCCAACCCAAGTAGGAACGATTACTATTTCTCAAATTTAGTCCTTCCTCTCCAGCCTCATTGTCACTACTTTAGTTCACACTCTCATCATGAATCTCTCAGGCAAGTTATTACATTCACGTCCTGCTGTGTTTTCTCCTTTATTACTGCTAAGGACTGAATTTTATCCCCCAAAATTCGTATATTGAAGCCTTTACCCCTAATATGATGGTATTTAGAGATGGGGCCTTTGGGAGATAATTAGATTTAGATGAGGTCATGAGGCTGGGGCCCTGGCGATGAGATTAGTGCCCTTACAGGATGGACACCAGATTGCATGCTCGCTCTCTCTCTCTCTCTCTCTCTCTCTCTCTCTCTCTCTCTCTCTGTCTCTCTCCTATGTGAGGTCACAGTGAGAAGGCAGCTGTCTGCAAGCCAGTAAGAGAACCTTCGCCAGAACCCAACTATGGCGTACCCTGATCTCAGACTTCTTCCAACCTCCAGAACTATGAGAAAATTAATTTCTATTGTTTAAGTCACTCACTCTATGGTATTTTGTTATGGCAGCCCAAGCTATACCTACCATCCCCAAATCATTCTTCACGCTACTGCCAGAATGATTTTTCTAACACACAAATCTAATTGTATCATTCCCTTAAAATTCTTACATTGTTCTTCAATCAGTCATTTGGTAAATTTGTATTAACTCCTCATGTGTGCCAGGTACCATTCTAGATGCTGGAAATATATGGATAAAAGCTTCATGTGGTTTAACCTTTTTTGGAGTACAGCCTATGGTGAAAACAGTTGTTAGATAAATTACTTGCACTATTACAGGTGTGCAGAGTAGTCTCCTGCATTCGGGATTAAACCTAATTTCTTTAGTATTATCTCTTTAATGAACTAGCCCCTCCATAGCTCATCTCTTCACATTTTTTTCTTCATATCCTCTACTTTAGTCTTTCTGAACTACTGGCAGTTGTCCAAATGCCACCGAACTTTTTATATGTTCAAGCAAGAAACTCTTTCTGCTTATTCTGCTTTTCTATTTAGATCCTAGAACTTCTCTAAACCTCCACTTAGATTTCATTTATTAAAAGCCTTTCCTGACTCAGTACCTGATCAGTAATAGGCACTTAATAAATATTGTTAATTAATTGGTTAATTGGCCACCTTTATCATAACACTTAATGGTATGATATTTGTTCCAGATATCTCTTACTATGTAAAAACCACCCCAAACTTAGCATCTTTGGGCAACAACCATCACTTCTTTTGCTTACAAACAGAAATTTGGTCAGAGCTCAGCAGGGACAGCTTGCCACTCTTCCACACAGTGTCAGCAGGAGTGACTCAGAGGCTGGGATGACTCTAGAGCTAGGGCTGCAATCATTTGAAAATTTGCTCAGTTTTACGTCTGGCAATTGATGCTAGCAGTTGGCTGGGCCATTGGGATTATGGGCCAGAACAACTACATGGGACCCCCTGTGTGTCTGCTTGGTTCCTCCCAGCATATGGGGTGGGCATGAGACTGAGCATTCTCAGAGTCAGAAAAAGGAAACTGCCAATTTCCTAAGACCTGGGCTAGGAAATAAATGGGCATGGTGTTATCTCAGTCATATTCTACTGGACAGGCAGCCACAGCGTCTACCCTCAAGGGGACAGGAAATAGAATTTACCTCTTGGTGGAAGGAGTGTGATGGAATTTGGGGGTCATACTTAAAAGCTACAAAATTATAACTTTTTACTTATTTGTATAAGCATTAGTCTTGTAAATCATTTATTTTTATATTTCTGGGCTCTTTACATGAGGTGCTTCATAAATGTTTGTTAAATATAGTAAAGTAATAGAATATGTTATGATTAAAATGGCAAACTTCCATTACTGGCCACAAGGGAGTGATAGGATCCAGACTTATCTTTTCACCATAAGCAAATAGAACACTGGACAAAATATATGGAACAGTTGATTCAAACATGAGACAACAGGCAGCACTGGACTGTGATTCTAGGGAGAAAGGAAACATATGCAATGAGCCCTATAATTGCAACAGCTTTCTGGACTGTGGCACGAGGAGGGGGAACCCAAAAAGAACCAAAGGTCTTATTGAAATGAAGAGAGAAAGGTCAGAGTTTATGGAGATCAAGAGACTAGAATTTGGAAGACAGAATATTAGGAGTTCACACGAGGCCAGTAGTGCTTGTTCTCATCAGACAGGAGGAAAAACCTTCATATTTCAGAGAACATTAGGGAAATACAAATACTTTTTCTCTATACTCACACTGAACACAGAACTATTCTGTGACCAGATAATGCGCAGGAT